CAGAGGGTTAAAGCCCCTCAAGCAAAGCGACCTGCACTTTAGGATATTCTACTCCACTATACTCCCAAAGAGAACAGTGTCTTATCACTACAATGGCAATGTCTGTCATCCCAGGGCGACGACCTCTGGCTACAGAGACTTTGCCTTTGTAGACTGTGTTTTTAAGCTGTAGCCCACGGAGGAAGCAAAGGCTAACGGGGGTGAGACAGGAGACCAAGCTGTGCTGGAAATCCCCTTCCCTCAGCAGGCCTGCCTCGTCTTAGACACACAGGGCCCCGCTGAGGCCCACATCAAAGGGGCTTCTGCTGTTCTCATCATCCTCCCTCCTTCTGTCTTTCTGTATGTCTCACTGTCTTTCTGTGCTTTTACCAACTCACTTCTGTTTCCATTTATACACACGTCTCTACCCCCACCGAGGAGCAGATGTCCTTGTCTTCTTGAAAGTGGCTGCATCTCGAGGAAATTAGCATCGCGAGCCAGTCAGGTGCCAGATTGTTTCACGCAGGAGGTCTCACATCTACAGCAGCAATCTGTGCCGATGTAAGAGCAATAACTTGCGACTGACTAAACGGCGTGTGCGATTAATCACAGCCGGGATGTACCAGCACATATGGTAGTCAGGTGTGGCGCGATCCGCTTTTAGGACATGTGGTTATGCCTGTGCGCCACCTCTGAGTAAATCAGAAGCGAAAATGCTCGCTAAACTGGTCCCCCCAGATCACTAAACACCTCCTGTCCCGGCCCCAACGCTGCTCAACGCCCGCAAAAATGTCAGGTATGTTTCACCCCGAGGCCGACACGTGGACACGCAAGACGCGGCGGGGGCAGGTTTGGCACATGAAAGCAGAGTTTGGGACTGACCCCTTTTGCATACATATGTAGAGGCGCTTGCTTCTGTGCGTCTTAGGGCACGTGCATGCATGCATGTCTGTGCCAGTAAACAGTAAGTCACAAGGAATGGCATTGTGAGTCTCTCAAGTCTGGATTTTCCCTCTTAATCACAGATTGTCTGATGATTTCCGTGTCTGTGCAGAAGGAAGCTGCACAAGCGGACAAGTCATCTGCACCGCGGCACAGAGGCAGACATTATGTGGGACCACTTAAACTTGTTTATCACAATTAGACTGTACGTTTAAACAGGAACAAAACATCAGTTTGGTTTTCCAGTTTAACAAATAGGATGCTTTTGCTACTTTTTACACTGGCAGTTATTTTATCTTGCAGTTTAAAAAAAATAAAAAATCACTGACAAACTTAGATTAAATTGAGTTTATTTACATGCTGCACACAGTTTGAACTTCAATGTGTTCTTGGCCTATAATAACCCCAGTCAGTCTCTCCTGTTAAGGACACTACCGCCCTCTAGTGGACTGTTCGGAAACTGCTAAATTCTGCCTCCTGTCGTTTAGTTTTTCCCTACCAACCCAGTGACACTGGGGAGCAACTTGCAATAAAAAAAAAAGGAAAAATGTACAAAATATAATTTGCAATCTAATCAAAATAACCCAAAATACCTGCCTGCTCTCACTAAACCTTTGCAGAAACGCAGAGGGAATAGAAGCAGATGCAGATAAATGAGGGCGTCTGAGGTGAATTTCACACATTAGCTGCGCTCTCGCTCTCATATAGCAGCTAATTACAGAGTTAATAATGCTTCCAGTTCTTTTCTTCCTTTGTAAATTTTTAATCCTCATCGTTTTACAGTCTGCTGGGTGAAGATGCAGCCAATTATTTTTTCTTTTTTTGGGGGGCGGGGGGGCTGACGCAGCTGAAACCAACATAAAACAGCAGCTTAGATTTAGTAAGTCATTTGGTTTAGATTCAGTTTGAAACACAGAGTCGGCTGCTGGCAGGGCAATAAATGCAAATCCTTGGGGTGTCAGTCTGTAAAAAGGAAAAAAAAAAAAAGTTTCAGAAGAAAAGGCAATGTGTCGTGACGGAGGATGTGTTAACTGTAGAGGTTAAAGTTTCCTACTTTTATATCTCTGTGTCGAGACTTTAGGTTGTTAACTTCGACTCTCGGAGGGAAAAACAAAGAGACCTGATAGGCCTGTGACTGATCATCACCATTATGTCGGACGTTGCCGGGGAACCCACCGCCATTAACCTTTGTGCTTTTCAACTTATCATATTTATGACGTTAAATTGCTTTAACTGAGAATAAATGTTGTTTATATTGTATTTGTGTTTGGAAACCAGCTTGCCTCAAATTGCCCCTTAAGGAACCAAAAAAAACAAAAATGCATTCAGCTCAGCTAATTCCCATAAATATGTAATATATTGTGAACAAACGGCTCCTGAAGAATCTGCTCAATCACAAACGAAAACCTCGGGCTGAGCTGAGACTTTAAGAATATACATAATTGACTCAAAAGCACATAAATAAATCCTAAATAGAAACAACCAGGAGCTGTTGTCCAAGCATCCAACGAGAGTTTTTTCAATTCCAGCAGGTTGTTTTTGTTTGATGCCTGGAGGCTCACATCTCCATTGATACTCCCGAGAAAAATATTCATCTCAGATTGGAAGATTAATCTGAAAATGTGCCCCGTCGCTGCGTTATTGAGCCACATGATGGGTGAAGGGCTGTGCGGGCTGTCAGTGGGTGGTATTGTCTGTTGTGAGGCCTCGGCTGTGGCGTGGATTGACTTCACTATGTGACTACTAGAGATGAGCCGTCTCATCGTGGCACCGCTGTAATGATGTGGTGTGACATGTATGAATGCAGCGTCGTCCGTCGAGAGGCTTCGCAGAGTTTGAAAGACGTCAAGGGTTCAGATGTATAATTTCGCAGCTCGTCTTTGCTGCGTTTTACAGAAAGCGGCGATTATCCTACACCGAAAGGGAAATGTAGTTTTACTGTCACATTCGCCGCAAAACCTTTAGTCTCTCATTAAAATGCCAACGTCCTCGTCTTTATAAGCCTGTTTTAAGATCCCAAGTTGGAACTGCCTCATAGAAAAAACTTAAAATCTCTATGTTGTAAAAAAAATTTTGTCTTGAGCAATAAATACATCAAGCTACAGCTGAACTCTCAATCACACGATCGGCCACCTATCTCAATTACAAAAAGTATCAACAACCATGTATTTAACATTTATGGAGGCCCAGAAGAGACATGGAGAAAGAAAAAAAAACAAAACAGGTATCTTTTGGAGGATCTTGTAAAACTTTCTTGGGATTTCGCAAAACTACAGGTACATATACTTCTGGGTCTTTTTGGCAGTATGGAGAAACAACAATGGAGAATACCCACCCATACAAGAGTTTTACTTTGAAATCGGTCTAAAATATAAAGACATATCTGAAAAGGATACTCAGCACCATCCTGATGGACTTCATACGCAGTGAACTACAGTCCTCTGGAACGCTTCATGGGTACTGATGTGACTTTTGTAAGATCCCGAGAAGGTTTGGCGAGATCTTGCAAAAGATATCTCTATTATTTTTTTCTTTCTCCATGTCCCTTCTGGGGTTCCGTAAACACTGTTTTTCATTTGTATACAAGAAAAACTTTATCACACACAAAATCTGCCTCCATGACAAGATGGTCATTTTAAAGTCCGTCTTCGGTCATTGATTAAATCCCTAAAAACTCATCTCTTTGTTCCAAAGCTGCACATTTTGCATTTAATTCTTCAACGCTCTTATGTTTAAAATATTTTCTCATTTTGCCTTTTAATATTTATTTTGTTCCTCGTATTCGAAGGTTATATAAACGTTGAATAAACGAACGTCCTTTCAAATGAGCTTTTGAAAACTGAAGCTGTTTTTATTTATTTATGTTTAAATAACACCTTTATGTCTTTAAAGGGTGTAACTGTATCGTCACCTCCTTTGGAATATATGGATCTATGCAATCCCCACCTCTTTCTCCACTCACGCCTCTGCTGTTCGCTGCAGCTCAGCACACCAGCTCACGTATAACTGCTTTATGATATACAAAGAGGTAATTCAGCCAAGCAAGACTAATGATAAAGAAAACTCCACCTTGCAAGCTGCAGGATCGATTCCTTAGGTTCGTTACATACTAACGCTGGACGTTTGAATCCATGGTTCGTTGCAGTTTTAAAGTGGAAATGCTCAGCCATGGCACTGACTGCTTATTTCACTCATGATGACGTGTTCTAGAATATAAAAAACGCCATATGGACAAGTTAACATGGTAAATAAAACCTGATTTACACCAGAGGACAATCTTTAAATCTGGCGTCCGTGGCAACATTCCCATCCAGGCACACCTGTAGTGATGTGTTCTAAATCAGTCAGGCAACGTTTGGTTAGCTACAGCGACAAAGGCGGAGCAGGATACAACTACTCGCGGTTACAGTTTAAAAAGGTAATTACTACCTCTGTCAGAAGGGGGCGACAAAACTTCCACACTTCAGCTGATTAATTGAAAAGGTACAGGTGTTTGGTTTGGTCTGGAAACAGGCCAAAATAAGATTAAAAGATTAAAACTATAACCATTAAAAACCCCAACGTTATAAGATGGTGACATTAATCGTGTACAGACCTTCAGCATCACTACTTTGATAACTGGCATCACAGTTACCGTGACAGTGACCGATAACAACAAAAACCTCCCAGCGATGCCGAGATGCGTTGTGCCATCAAACCCAGCGGCTCACTTTGCACGAGTCGGCTCAGGCATGTGTCACTGTTGCGTATATCATCAGCAGCGAGGACGTGACTGCTCAGGGGGTCGTTCTGGACCACAGAAACCCACTCTGGACTCAGAATGGACGTATTGTGCAGCGAGTGGACAGGGTCTCTGACCTCAGAGCAGTCTGCATACAGAATGACACAGGCTCTTTGTTACCACTGACAAAGCCAATCGCTCACATCACTCACTGTAGCAGCACTGGGAGCCTTTCAGCGGGCAGCCGAGCCCGCAGAGCTGCCAGCCCTGACTTAGGAAAATAAAACCCATGTCTCCATTTGGATCTGCTAAGCTTTAGAACTGCTATTTCTTCATTAAAGACACCCACACTGACGAGTTTAAAAGTCAGACAATAACTTTATTAACAGTTTTTTTTTTAGTGTTACTTACTAAAACAATAGAAAAACGCTTAAATTAAGTGCTCAGTCGGTTCAGTAAAATAAATAAATATAAAAAATTGTACTAAAAACAGTTAAAAATGTAAGTTTGCATGTCTTTATACAGACTTAGTGTCACAATGCTCCCTGCCATTGTTAAAGGCTTCCACACCACATCCGCTATGTTCATAGTAGATAAGGCAGATAATAAGAGCAGCACCGAAACACCTAAACCCGCTTTCGTAGGTTTTTTTTTTTTTTTTTTGTCGGTCAGTCTTGATGATGATTTGATAACCAAGGCTAAATCTGTTCAGTGCTTCCACAGACATTAAGTGCAATGCTAGCTTAATATGCATTAATACAGGAACACAGACAACAAATCAACATGTAAGGTGGTGTTAAAACGGCCAGCTCTTTGGTGCAGCCAGGTGTATGGACGATGCATCAGTGTGACCAGATCTGCACAAGGTACAGTGCTGTGAAAAAGTATTTGCCCCCTTCTCGAATTCCTTTTTTTTTTTGTGCATATTTTCCCCATTTTAATGCATCTTGTGTTTACGCGAATTATTGTTGTCTAATATTTAAATTTGTTTGATGATCTGAAACATTTAAGTGGGGAAGATATTCAAAAAATTAAGAATTTGAGAAGGGGGCCGATACTTCTTTTCAGCACTGTAGCTGTTAAATATTTGAAACATGTTACCTGCAGCGCAGCACTGAATTAAAGGCGATTTGATGTCTTCAAGTCATGTTCAAATAGACGCTTGGTCCAGATCTGGCATTGACTTGGCTGTATTGGTGATTTAGGCACAGTATCCGGTCCATCAGAGGCACAGTGGAGCAACATTGAACCCTCATTCTGCAGCAGATGGGCTGTAACAAGAGATACTGCAGTAGATGCTGGATAATGTAAATGGACAGCTGTTGTTCTAAAATAGCTAACAATATGAGCAGTTTCCAAGATAACTTTGCACATTCTCTCTCCTAACACACCGGTTGCTGTTCAAAGATCTTGACCCCACATTATCCAGCAGTGTCTGAATGACTGCTACACAGTTGCACCACCGCTGTCCTCGCCATTCAACCACAATACAGCAGCGCCGCCCGTCTAAAGCCACTTCGTAAACAAACCAAACAGCTCGGTGAGACAAGACAGTGTTCCTTCTTCAACACAGAGACAGACATTAAAGCGCAAACGTCCGTTACTAGGGATGGTTAGGTTGCCGTGACGATAGCGGGGACTCTGATGGTGTTCGAAGCAGCCGGGTTTTCGTTCTCGACCTGATAGGTCACGTCAGGGTGCTCGGCTGCCACCTCCGGCTGGTCTGTCATTGTGACTGGCTCGTCCTCCTCTTCCTGAGATTGTAGCTGGTCAAAAGATCGCTCGGCTTCTTCTGACAGCCGGTTTTCCTCTTTCTCTTCCTCCCGCTGACCAAATGACAGCAGAGGGAATTACATCAGGCGAGGAATACACACAAAGACAATTTCATGTTCAAAACTAGAGCTTCTCTGCACAATACCTCTTTCTTCATCCTGTAGTATTCATCAATGGCGTATTGGTATTTGGCTGATGTTATCCCAAAGAGGGAGGCCATCCTCTCCCCAAGGTAGTCACACGCTGGAGAATTAAAATGATAGAATACAAATTTACATCAAATAGCTTCAAATAATATTATAATGTAACTGGGTGTTCTTAGGTTTGAGTGAGATAGGAGTTTCGTAAGTCTGATCTTGGTTAAATACATCTGTTAACACTGTGATGGCGTGCAGATATTGCACAAAATGCTACAGAAAATAGTGTAGAAATCCATCAAAGCAAGCTGTGAAGCAATGTTTTGTCCAAACTAAGTCACTAAGGTGAACCATTAAATGTGTCAGCACGGAAATGATCGAGTGCTTCCCTCCGTTCGAGGTCTCGTTGGATAAACAATCGCTGGTGTGACTTTCATGACAAGATACAAGTTACATCAACAGTCTTCCAGGATTAACCCACAGTGCTTTAATCTAACATAATACTCTGAACATCAATCAAACCTGGACTGCCACAGACCAGAACCTGAATTGAAATTTCCACTAAATCTGGTGCAACATTTTCCAATATGCAGACAGATTCATAGCCTCACTGCGATAAGGAATGTGCTGTGGAAAAATCTCACATGTGGCAGCTTTTAAACGCATCTGAAACTTGGCTTTATCATCACAGATGTGTACTCAAGTATTTCTACAGCATAAACAATTTCATTGCACAAACCTGAGATAGTGGACGTGGCTGCTCTCCACATGTGGAACCAGAAGTAAGGCCCCCAGGTCATCTTTGACTACAACGCAAGGAATGCAGGGAAATTAAAAGCTTTTCTGTGTCACACACCTGCACCATTTCCTTTGCACTCACACACACACACACTCATGAGTTTTTCTCACCCTCACCGCATCGACCGGGGAGGACAGCAGGTCTTTCCTCTCCGGCTCCTTGTCCTCTCCCTCCTCCTCGTCGGTGCTGTACTCCTCCATCGTCTCACCGCTGGAGAAATGGATGATCCGACGGGGAACCTTCTCCTTCTGCTGCTGCTGCTGCTGCTCCTCTTCTTCTCTATTGCCCAGCTCTCCCAGCTCCACGCTCTCAAAGTCCCTCGCCTGGCTTGGACTCGGACTCTGGGATCACAGATAAAGACAGAGGAGGTAGAGATGAAAAAAAACAAACAAACTGCTGTCCCACTTTTTAATAACAGAAGTCCTTCATATTGTATACAGTATCTGATGCACTCTGATTTTAAATATATCTATATGTATACAGGTGAACTTGTGAAAACCACATACAGGACTTGAAAACACTGAATGCGGTTGCACAAAAACTGCAGAAGAGAAAATTAGTGCATTAATACACTATTAAGACTCAATTACCCCATGCCACATCAATATAGCAAACTAACATGGACACTTTTAAACCATTTAAACCACATTCCACAGAGCTTAAAGAAGAAATTGACTTTATACATAAAATATCACCTGCAACTAGGGCATCCATGTCATTTTTCTGCTATGATTTTGCATCCTAAACGAAGGAACTGGACTTTATTTTGAGATATTTGTGATTATTTTATTCTGCACCATGATCATCACACTTTGCTCCTAACACAGATATATTTGTGGCTTGCTGACTTAATGAGGTGTGACTACAGTACTTGTACTACTGGCCCTCTTCTTGGGGAAACACCTGATTTTCTATTTTCTTCACTTGGAAACTACCAACTTCATTGTTCTTGACCTCGTGTAACACTCCCTGTTCGCCTCCTAACAAATACAGAGACGTTATGAATATTTCAGTCGGCGTCAGAGGGAAAAAATACACATTTTAAAAGGCCTGTACTGCCTTAAAAAAGACGATAAAACCCTCCCTGTGTACGTTGTTATCATGATAACCGAGCAACCAGACATGACAGCTCTGACAAGTGGCAACAAGCGACACACACCGGAGAGGCGTCATTCAGTAAACAAAATCAGCAAACGGTGGTAATTTTGCAATAAAACGCTGTTTACCTGCCCCACGTCCATGTTCCGCCCTATAGACACGTTAACGTTGGTGAGATACAGCGATATGTCGGCCATTGTCGCCGTCTTCTTCTTTGTATGCGGATGCTGCGCCCACAACAACGGCTCTCCTCCGCGCTGCGTGACCCGGATGTGCCGTTCAAAGCCCCCGGTCTGTACGTAACGTCCATCCGTTACACCTGCAGCGACCATGACATAGCGATACTAAGAAATTATTTTGCGTTTTATCGTCAATTATTATCATTTTATTGAGAAAATGTAACACACTCAAAATTGTTTTTATTTGCCAAATTAAAAAAATAAAAATAAAATAAAATAAAAAAATCCATAAGTGGTGCTAGCTTAATTGCTATAGGGGTGACTATCTGTAGCATGCCACAATTTACATCACATGTTTTTTTTTTTCTTTAAAAAACAACAACTATATTTCCTGTACATTTAACAAACAAACAAAAATATATATAATATTTGACATTTTAAGTGACACTGTAAGAAAATAAATTTACAACCAAACAAACAAAACATTTTTTTCTGTTTCTTCAATGCTATGCTTTGCTAAAGGTCAGTGGGTGTCACCTAAAATGTGTATCATTAACATATCCATACATTTAACATGTAAACAATTTTTCACATCAGTTTCTACTGTGACTGTGCTTTAAAGAACTACATCGAAAAAGAAAAAAGAAAAGTTCACAGTACAAAGGAGCTGACATATTTTATGAATTGAGTAAACAAAACCAGTTATTCATTACAACAATCATAAAATATTAGTCAGTGTGGTAATGAAGAAAGACACTGTGATTAAGTAAGTAATTAAAGGTACATTTTCTCAAATAGGTTTTTTATTACTATTATTAATTGTTTAAAACCACTATGTCAAATTATACAGTTTCAAACTAATTTACTTTTTAAAATTTAATTATATATTTTTTAGCTTGCTTAAAAATAGTTATTTTTCTAAACTGACATGGCATCATGATTTTTTTTCACCACATGATTCACAGCAGTGAATTGTGACTCAAGTTGTTTCAGGGTAAACTACAAATAAAAGGCAAAGTAAGGTCATCCCACTTTCTCTCTATGCTTCGCCTTCATTAATATCACAGTGAGTGCAGGCTTGCTTAGCCTCCACCGGTGATTCTCCAACTGTGTGCCTTACAATTAGTCTAATTTATGATGATTTTCAGAGCTGTAATCACATATAAAAGTCTTGGAAATACTCCTCTGCATCAGTTTTATTGAATAACTTTTGGGGTGACCGATACTTTGTGATCATACTTTTTATATATGAGGATGTAATGAGGATGAAAACACATTTACAGAATACAAGATGCAAGGGTTACAATTAAAAAACTATAATATAATTAGAATCAGAGCCAGTCTGCTGCCTGTGTTGCTGACAAAAATTGCTTCCATAGCTTAATGATAACTTATCTAAGTACAGCACCTTAAAATAAAACATGTATTTTTATTGCTACTCAGCTAGTTGTTGTCAGTTAATGATTAGAGAGATCATGTTACATGCATATCACCGGTAAGCCTCCATCCATACAATAATGTCAGTGGTACCAGTAACCTACGATGAGACTGAGAAATTTGACATGACAATACTTTTGACTTCAGCAAACACATCAGACTTTGACAAACAGTGAAATATTATGTGTATGATGAACTATGTCATATTATTTTCAAGGGCTTTGACAGATGATCAGTGTCGTGGATTAACAGATCAGTATTCTTACTTTTGTAAACAATAATAATAAAAAAATAATCTAGGCCCACTCATAACATTTGGATCTAAAGCTTTAGATGCCACTCTCTGAAACCCTCGTTTCTCGTTGGGTTGTGGTTCTCCAGACCTTGTGGGCAATCTCCTTTGATAAATATTAACACGTCTGGGGAGTCTACACTAAACCTCTGCAGCAAATGTTATTTCTCCGTGGTTCCACTGACATTATAAACAACAGCAGGTAGGAACCAAAATGACTCTCAGCCAAGTGATTTGTAAGTAAGATACTCAAATGTGACACGCATAAATATTCATATGAGATTATAAAGTGCTGCAACTGACAATGGAATGAATGATTCAGAATTAAAGTGTGTAAAGTTAGTAAAATAATTATGGCAAGATGCAATCTGGATCAGATAAAATGTATTGTTGTGTTTTCTTTTTTTACTTTATGTTTGCATTTTACATTTCTGGCTTCAGTGCAGTTTTATTATTGTACATATACAAATGGGTGACAAATTAAAGGAAAAACTTGACCCCTTCATTGAGTAGATCTGAAATTAGTGTGATGCTGTTGGAGGCGTTTTATCAAAGCAAAGTTGTTCTACGTGACCCATTGTACTTGAAGAGGTGATCTGAATGGTTTGATGAACATAATAAGATTTTGGACTGTCCACAACCACCATCATCAAAACATCAAATGAGGGAATATCGTTTGGAAGAAAGGTGTTCATCCCTGCAGCAGAGTTCCAGAGACTTCAAGAGAATTGATGCCAAAGTGTTTTGTTTGCATATGTTGGCCAAACACCTTAAGTCAAGTGTTCCTGTAATTTGTCACCTCTCTTCTTGCACTACACCTTCACAACAAGCTTGGAATGCAGGCTAAGCCTTGTTCACAATTTGACATGTCACATCAATAAAAGCACAAGTGCAAATCATAAATCTAAAGTGGGTTGAATTCCATTTACGTGCTCCAGTAAGCCACCATCTTGGCTTACTGGGAGACTTGAATAATACAGAGTCATCATTAATCTTATTAGTAACACCTTCTCCTACAATGACATGTCACAATGGTTTCTCAGAGAGTCTGAAGAAAAATGCATCAAATATTCTATTATGTTGTCGTTTCTACACAACAGAAACTTTGGAAAGCTTTAAACTAATGTTATTTAGCTACGGATGAATTATTGATCAGGCCTATGGAGCCCAAAAAGAAACAGGTCCTCAGTGTCTTTGATTGAAAGTGACTGCAACGTTTCTATTTGGATTCTTATTTTCTATTTATGTACATATTATCCACCTCGCTAGTGCACCTTGCAGAACCGCCTTCAAATCCAACAAGGTGCTGCAAACATTCCTCAGTGATTTTGGCCCATATTTAGGTGATAGCATCACACAGTTGCTGCAGATTTGTGTTCAGCACCTTCGTGATGGGAATGTCCCGATTTCATCACATCCCAAAGGCGCTCTGCTGGATTGAGATCCGGTGACTGCGGAGGCCACCGGATGCACTGATCTCATCATCGTGTTCAAGAAGCCAGTGTGAGATGATAGGAGATTTGTGAAATGGCGTGTTATTTAGCTGAAAACAGTCATTGGAAATGTACTCAGGTAGGCTGCAGTGTTTAAACGATGCTCGATTAAGGGGCTCAAAGTGTGCCAAGAAATTATCCCCCACACCATTACGCCAACAGGATCAGCTTGGACTGTTAACAAGGCAGGACGGATCCATGCTTTTAAGTTGTTTACACCCTGCCATCTGAATGTCGCAGCAGAAAAAGAGACTCAATGATTTTCCAATCTCCTATAGTCTAATTTTGCTGAGCCTGTTCCCACTGTAGCCTCAGTGTCCTGCTCTTAGCTAACAGGAATGTTACCCAGTGTGGCATTCTGCTGCTATAAATCATCTGCTTCAAGGTTGTGCATTCAGAGATGCCTGTCTGCATTCCTTGGCTGTAACAAGTGGTTATTTGAGTTACTGCTTTTCAGCTGCTTTTCTATCAGCACAGACTATTCCGGTCATTCTTCTCGGACCTCTGCTATCAACGCTGGCTGGAGTTTTTCCCTATTTTTGAACTATTGTGTGGAAACCATAGAGATGGTTGTGGGTGAAAATTCTAAGAGATCAGTATTTTGAGAAACACTCAGACCAACTCATCTGGCACCAACGACCACTAAAATCTCCTTCATGCTTAAATGCATTCAGCTTCTGCCACGTGATTGGCTAATCAGATATTTGCTTTAACGAGCAGTTGAACAGGTGAGACCAAGTGTAAGTAATGAAGTGGCCGGTTAGTGTGTGTGCACATATATATACACACATATTATATGCTATTTTAAACTAAGCTATATTTCAGGAGATTCTGATTGTAGGCACAAGGAGAGATTTGTTTTGAACACTTGGGGTGGACATTAAGAAGAGGTGACTGGACATCCTAACCAAGGTCATTCTGAGCATCAAACATTTATAATTTGCATTATGGTGAACTTCTTTGCATCACTTTGGTCCATTTTCTGCATTAATTTATGCTAGAAACATCTTTTTATGTAAATAAAAACACAAAATGCATGCACCCTGTGGAAATTCAAACATAGAAAGGTATATAATGCTGTAAGTCTCTCACGCATTCTGTATTACTTTCAAATATGAACCTTCTGTAGATCAGCTTTTCTCTTTCAGTAATATCTTTGATGAGGAAACACACATATAGGTTTATGATTTACCCTTGTACCCTGTTTAAATGTGCATGCCACAGCTTTTCACGTCATTTATAAATTAAAATATTTGAATTAATTTGCAAACCACATGTGTGGCTGAAGGTTTCTACTCTACTCTCTCTTTGCACAGTCAGGACATGCAAACATACTAAAGAAAGAAAATCCACCTCTGTTGGAGACATTGTTAACGTTTTATAGTTTCTTGCTTCATTCATGTCTTTATATTAGGGGAAAAAATGCATGTATTCTAATTGTTGAGGCAGATATATCCCCTGAATTCTCCCTGAAATCTACACCTACAATTGCAGGACACTTTTGAGTTTCCTGCTTGTGAATGGTCTAAATCAGGGGTGCCCAATCCTGGTCCTTGAGAGCCCCTATCCAGCATGTTTCAGATGTTTCCCTCTTCCAACACACCTGATTCAAATGATCAGCTCATCATCAAGCTCTGCAGAAGCCTGATAACGATCCTGATCATGTGAATCAGGTGTTTTGGAAGAGGGAACCATCTGAAACATGCTGGATAGGGGCTCTCGAGGACCAGGATTGGGCACCCCTGGTCTAAATCTACTTTTCCAGCCACTAGATGTCAGTAGACCTTCGTCTAACTCTGAGGCAGCTGTGCCTCTGAGTGGGTAGT